AGTTGTTCTTCAAAGTGCTGTAACACCCTTATGGAGGGTATCACACCTGCTGTGAAAAGCTGAGATATATCTCTGGTTGGGGATGAGAAAGAGAGAGGTCACTAAAAGAGGAGGACTGGACCTCAGGCAAATGGCAAGTGCTAAAAGATTGTGGAGAGGGGGAAAAAGGCAGCACATATTGCCTGTGTAGTGCAGCAATTCTTTATGAGCATTTTATAAGACAACTGAAATGGGCAACATTTAAACTATTTGGGTATCTGAACTACTACACTGTTTTTAAGTTCTGATATTTTTCTCTTCAATTTTCATAATATTTATATTCCTTTCCATGTTTTCACGGTGGCTGTTATGTTACTGATGACACTGAAGCATGTGTATGAGTGATCCCACAACTGTTACTGCACTTAATTGTGCCATAGGATCATCATACTGCGTGTGATTACCTTCAGTTCATGAAGAAAACAGAGTCCACACATTTTAGTTTTGCTGCCTTATCACTTCAGGTGGAAGACAGAATTTCTAATCTGATAACAGTGTGCATCCCATGCTGGCACAGGAGTCTGTTTATACAGGCTATGGGTGGTTTGAGAAACCTCTGAACTGTCACGTACCATCTGAATTAATGAGGCCATATAGGTCTAAGGTCCCTAAAAAGACCCATCTAGATTAGAATCGATTAATCCTACAGTGGACTGCATTGTATTATGAGTGACAACAGATGTAGGTTTTATTTAAGCATAATTTTATAAAGATCATCAGCTGTAATCTTTAATTAGTGATGATCACCCATATCTTGACTGTGGTGAAAATGTCTCCGAAACTACAAAGCCATATATTTGAAAAGGAAATTTTTGAAGAAAAATAAAAGTCAGAGGTATGATTTATAGAGAGAAAACCTGTTCAGAAGATTCAGCATGTCCTATATAGGCAAAAAAAATACAAAACCCTTCAAGTATTTGAATTATTGGCATGAATTGATATATCTGTATTCTTCATGTACTTCCAGCTTCCTACTGAAAAAGTCAGTATTTCACCAATTAAGTGTAAAAATCAGCACATGGCTGGGAGACAGTATAACTAACAGATAGATGTGCTTCAAACCAAATGTGCAGGTTTTAGCTCTACTTATCAATTAAGAATTCAGAAATAATATTCACCAGGGTTCAAAACTGTTGTCTCTGTAATCAGCTGATACAAACCCTGGAATCCAGATATTCCCCAAACATATACACTGAAATCTAAACCCACTTCTTTCGTTTGTGGATCACTGAAAATATACCAACGTGGTAAAAAAAGGAGTGAAAACATAAACTTAAGGAATTATTTTGTCTTGTTAAATATTGCACATCCTATAACTCTGCGTAAGTAATTCCATAAAATAAATTGATAACTTGCTAGCATGCCGTCTAAATGACTCATCACCTGTTTGCACAGTGTTCATGGTGTCATTTATAAAACAGTGCTTCAGGTGAAGGAATTCAGTCTGAACAACAGGCTTTACTCAGTTATCAGACCTTTTTAATTTTTGTTTTCATATCACAACCTGGTGAACAGGCAGTCATCACAAAACCTATCTAGCCTTTAATTTCCCACCCCTCAATGTTAAATGGACAAAATAAGAGGTTGTTTTAGAGTGCTTATTGTGACTGTAATGAGGCCTGACACTTGTGACACTTCAGCCATGCAGCCACCAGCAGTTCCATCACAACAAAGGAGCTCTGAGTGCAACACATTGTACTGGTCGGGAGAGTTGCGAGTTTGCAGCTTTGCACAGCAGGTGTGGCCGCACATCTCTGCACCCCTAAATACACACACTCATCCAATCTGACAGATTAGACAATGGCACACAAAAATGCATCGCTGAGGCTTAAACAAAGACTTCATCTCCAAAGAGACAGAGCTTTGTGCTTAATGTGTTGCCACTGCTAAATTTTCCAAATGGAAAACAATGTGTATTTTATTAATGAAAAACAAATTGAGGCAAAGCGATGACAAATGCACTGGGCTTTTTGACATTTAAAAAAGTGTGCATTCTCTTTCCTTTTAATATTTACCTTCATATCATCCTGCAAATGATTTTGTTAATTAGTTGTATCTTTTGTATGCTTCACACAACAAATGTGAGGAAGCTAGGGGACCGTACTAAAAAAAATCCATCACACAAGAGAATACAATTTAGCAGTCTTTTGTGTAGCTAGCTGCTTGTTTCTTTAATACCTATTTAGACAGAAACACAATTGTATGAGCAGGAGTCTTTAAAGTCGTCACTACTTTGGTGCTTGAGAAATTTATTTTTAAAGGAGGAAAATACAGGAAACCTAATTTTCTATTCAACTTAACAGCAACAGAGCATTAAAAAGTGAAGCTAGAGATGTGCATATTTACCATATGGGAATGAACTGGGCATTAATGGGCTCTGGAGGCTTATTTGGAGACAGCTGCACTTATCATGAATCAGGAAAGGGAAATAGCAGCCCTGGTGCGCTGTAGGTCAGTTACAAATGTCGACTTCAGAGAGCCATAAATCTCCAGCATTACTTCAGCAGCCGACTCTCAGAACACCCTTCTAGCGTTTTCCTATAATTTAAAGATTATGTAAGGTGTATAGTGAGCGTGTTCGATGAAAATATTAATTTAGAGATAAATCCTGTAAATGCTCTAAAGCAGCAGCTTCTGCTGAGCAGGATCATCTTCTGGTACATTTCAAATAGGAATTGCTGCTAGTTTTGTCAACAGTAGGAGGTCATGGAACGCTGCCAAATAAAACACGGCCTTTTTCAATAAAATGCTTTCAGTTCTAAGTAGTCACAGAGTATCTTCCTGTACTGTTTTACTACTGATATTTAAACTTTGATATGTTGTTTTATATTGACAATTCCTTGACTCAGAAATCTTAATCATGAAATAAGCTGAAGTAAAAAGCAATTAATCGCAGTTAACTCCTTCTGGCATGTCCAAAAAAGAAAAAAAAAAGAAGTATTTTGTTGTTGCTTCTGAATGTTTTAAAGGCATTATCCTGGCTCACAGATTTTATACCCCACTGTGAGGCTGCTGGTTTTCAAAATCCGATATTTACATGTTGAAGTTTAGGGCTTTTAAGAAAAGTAGCAAAACTTCTTAGCAAATTAACATTTTAATTACTGTGGAATAGAAAGGGGGCTGTATTGTTTTAACTCCATCAGTGTGAGCTATAGGAACAGACCTTTCAGCTCATGCTAATAGAACCTTGTGGGTATGTATGCAGATTATTTGGTTTCTGCTTTGTTGATAACATTTTTTTTGTGAAACATAGGGATAAATGAAAAAAGAGGAATGTGTAATTTCCAGTCTTTCCCACAAGACAGAGTAAAAACAAGGTTAGCTAGCATATTTCCTGTGATTTCACCTGACCTGTCCATGCTGTTTGTTCTATGTTCTAGGTTAAACTGCAGTTTTGAGGTAGTTTGCCCTTCCCTCCTGGAATCCGTACAAACTGACTGCGTAAATCTCCACTCATGTCAGGAAGAATACCGGTAAAATAAGATCCTATTGAGAAGTGACAAATATAAAAACATATCTGCAATTCCTTAACCTTTGGGAAAACTAATGGATTAACAATTGCATGGGGAGTTTGATACGTGCAATTTCTCAAAGTCCAGCTCATTATACTTCATAATCACAACTTCCACTGCCATAATGCCCCAAAATTGGTCAGTTGTGAATGATCACAAGGCTCAGTAGAAATCGTGCATTTTTTACTTCCAGAAGTGATGAATAATACTGCAGAATCAGTTTCTAACTACTGCCATTTACCTACTGGAAACTTTTTGTTTTGTGTTAGCTCATGCCATGAACCCTTTCCAGAGTCTCCTCTTTTCTGAAATTCTCCTTTTCCACGAAACTCTCCTTATACTTCCCACATTCAAAAATTTTCAGTTATCAATATTTCAGCCCCATTTATTTCTGCTGCCTGAAAAACAGTGGCACAATAACCTTTCTATGTTCTTGGTGTGGGAAAGAATTTTCACTGGTACTAATGAACAAGTTACCTGTTCTAAGAAAAAGTTCAAACATGCTTCTTCCTTCTTATATACCAGTGTGCCATTGTTTGAAACACTCCAACTATTATCATAATTCTTTCTTCATGCATAAATAATGTACTTGATAGTGTCCCATACCATACTCAGGCGAACGCTCTTAGTTTTACAATAGGATTTATGAGGACTAATTAGTGACTGGAGATTTTGTTACCTGGACATCTTGATTCAACCTGGGAGAGGACTTTTTCACCTAATGAACAAAAAGAGCTGCTGTTCTTTGAAGAGACAGAGACAGATAGACAGATAGATAGATAGATAGATAGATAGATAGATAGATAGATAGATAGATAGATAGATAGATAGATTTAACTCTACAGATAAAGATTATAACATAATATATACTTACAGGCCACACTGATTACACAGGCATGAACTGCCTTAATACTGATATATCCTAAATTCACCACATATCACTCCGCAATCATGTTTTTATTTAGATTTAGTGGTTTTTTAAGCTTAGAAAAAGAGACTAAGACCTAAACATTCTATGTGCTTTTGTAATTTCCTATATCTGTTTCAGTAGAAGGAAAAGAAAATTCAAAGCTGAAAGACCCATCTCTTTCTGGTAGAGTGACAGATAGCAGCAACACTGAAAAAGTTTACAGAGTCTTTTACGGGGATAAACACAGGGCTGTCATTCTCCTCCTCACCAAAACCGAGTTTCCCATCCCTTCCATCTTTTTCATTCTATCCTCCATCTTCTGGCTTACATAACATCTTCCTTGCCTTGGACTTGGGAAAGAATTCAGCTTTCACTCTGTCTCCAAGCTGGCTTCCCATGCAGGCTTAATTGTCTTTCATCTGACACTATCCCAGCAATTCTCCACCAGCAACCACCAGTTGCAATGTTTGATCTCTCCTACCTTCAATCCATATTTATTTGTACATATGTTCTCACTTGGTTGTTAGCCCTTCACCTACCTGACATCCAGCACCTCATCTTTCTCCAGCTCTTATCTGATGTAGTAGCTCCTGCTCTCCCTTCACTTGATTTTCAGTTCCACTGGTTCATGATTCCCACCTGCTGTTTCAAGGCATCAATTCTTCTTAGAATAAGTATTGTCAAAGTCAATTAACCATACAAAAATATATAAATGTTACCCAGCCACATTAGATGTATTCTTTTGGTTGACACTTCACATAAAATTGTGTCCTGAGGCAAAGAACCAGACTGAAAGATTTCAGCTAAAAAGGTTAAAATTTAGTAAAATTAAAAATTATTTAATTATAGTGAAACTATGGGAAATGTCAAGTAAATTAAGCCCTAACAGGAATATTAGGCGTACCTTGATATAACAAAGATAACAGTATGTTGGGTTTTTTTGTTTTTTTTGTTGGTTTTTTTTTTTTTTTTTTTTTTTTTTTTGCATGTAAGATAAAGGGAAAGATAGAATATAGTTATGTAAGTGTTAAGTAGATTGTTATTTTATACAAATAATTCATTTGGTTTGTTTCTGTTATGTTTGTAGTTTTATAATCTCTGCTTTATAATCTCTAAAAAATATTCTCTATAATCTAAATAATCTCTAAAAAATCTGCAAAGCAAAATTAAGCTAGTTTGCCTGAATTAGAACTTTTTGCCTTGGGTTTCAACTTGAATTTTCCTTATCACAGTTGGAGAAGCTGGAGCTGGACTGAGCATCAACAGATGAAGTTCCTGTAGCTTTCATACTTCCCTCCAGGCAGTTTATTGCCTGCTCTGCTCTTGCACAGTAGGGTTTTGAAAGTTGCTAGGGATCTGACAGAAAACCAGGTATGAGTCTGAGTGCATTCTGACAGAGGACTGCCTGTTTCAGGATTTGAGGGGGGAGACAAGGCTTTATAAATGCATTCAAGCTTACATTCTGCTTTGCAGAACACCTCCTTTGATGATGTCTCATTACTGTGATGAAACTTCTGTTTATTAGAGAAGTCCAGACTGGCTGTTGCGTAGAAGTTCATCCCCCGCTGGAGCTACTGATATGTAGCTCTGCTACACAGGGAGATGTGCCAGTAGGTCCTAATAGTGCCAGATACACCAGCTTGATTTGTCCTTACCAGCTCCTACAGGGCAATGCTTTCATCTTTATATTGTCACTCTGTGGTTATCAATAGTGAATACGCTATTGTTAAGGTAATTCTAGCGTAGCTGCACAAATGAAGCTGTCCTTGGAGTGCTCCCAGAGCATCAGGGTTGGTGGTTGCCTGTCCTCATCTGCCTTACACTTACGCTGCATAAATGGCACTCTCTGCCTAGATCACATGCCTGGTCACTGCGGTGGGGCACCTTGCTGACAAGTAGGCCTATATTATAAATGTTCTGTGGATCCCCACCATGGAAAATGTGTTCAACTACAAAACAATATCGGATTTTAAATTAACAATAATGAATGCTGGAAGTTTGCACTAGGGCTTACACTTTCAAAAAGAGAGATACTAAAACCTTGCTTAGGAAAATTAAATGTAAATATTTACACAGCTTTGTGAGAAAGTACTTCAAGCAAAAATAGTAAATGGTGTGAGAACAACAAGGGCGTTACTGGTGCTCCTTGTAATTGTCATTACTCTTCAAAACTAATGGACTGGAAATTACAAAGAAGATTCTGGTTATTGGGTAAAATTTAGAACTACAGACCAAACTTTTCGATGGAAAGAACGGCTGACTGAAAACTACAGATACCATAACAATGTATAAGTAAGAATTCTTAATGAACTTTATTCCAACCAAATTGTTATTCCAGTTAAAATTAAGCAGTAGGTCTGGAGCTCAGCAGCATTCAATTCACATAAGCTACTTGACATCTGTTGGTTGGTTTTAGCTGGCCAGTGAGTATCTGAATGAATGAATGAAGGAAGGAAGGAAGGAATTAGACTTTAAGCAGTTCAGTATTCCATAATGAATTCCTGAAGATGAAGATGATGGTGAAGCTTTGTTAATTATGATGATGAAGTGCAATAGGCATGAAAAGTTGGGCCCCTATTACTGACCTGGAAAATGAACATAGTCTTTTATATGCAAAAGATCATAATTCTTATGCCTCTAATGTGCTCAAGCAATACCTAACTATACTAACCACCTATGTGCTCTTGCCATCTTTGTGAAAATTATACAACTGCTTAAACATAGCCATTTTTTATTTGTACTTTAGAGATATCTGAAGAATATAGTGTGGGAAATGAGGAAGAAACCCTGCAGAGACAAGGATTTGCAGAATTTTTTTGCCAGTGACAGTAATTGGTGAGCTGTGTCCCTCTTCTTATCCCAGTCTATGAGGCTTTCCATCAGATTTTCTCTCCCTTTCTGTTGAGGAGAGTGAATGAGAGCAGGTTGGTGGGCACCTGACAATGAGCACAAGTTGACTCCGTACGCACGCCAAGACAACTGCTTTTTTTTTTTGCTATCAGCTGCTCACCTAGTGTGGCTGCTTCTGATCCCCTATTCTTCTGTCTCTGTCCTTGCTGCATCAATAAATTTGTTCTAGACAGCTACATTTGTAACTAGCCATTAAAACAAACATAACCTTTTTTTCCGGATATGCTGTCTCTGCAGATTCCTCCTGAGTTCTCCATCCAAATTTGTCCCAGAGCAAATAACCTTTGGCTGCTTGAGTCCTTGGCCAGTTAACTACCACTGTTCGCAGCTCAGGTTGCAGGCTTCTCTGCAAGAATTCTTACCAAACCCAAACAATTATACTTCAGGTATGTAAGACTTGAAGACACTGTGTTTGACCACATTCCTAGAGCTTAATTGCATCAAAGCACATCATAGTAAGAATTGAGAATAACCATTTTGCCATTCAGTGAGAGATGGAATCATGCTATAGAAACTCTTTAGTAGCTGTTCTGTCTTACTCTCTCTGGTTTGAGAGATCTTTTTCCAGTTTTCACTGAATGGAGACCAGGATTTTGTAAAATTTTAACAGTAGGTATAAAATAGGTAACTTGAATGTCAGAGAATAAAGCTGAAGTATAAAAGCCAGCATCAGGTCAGTCTTAATTGCAAAAATAAGCATTGCATGTGCACGCAGGTATGATTATTGATGACAATCTGAAAAATAAATTTTAAATGGTCTGTTTAAAAAAAAAAAATCTGCAAGCAGAAAAATTTTTTTGTGTTACTTCAGCGATAACCTGAAATAATGGATAGCCAGTGTTTCATGTAAAGAATCTCCACTATTTACAGTCATTTTGTGAAATGACTGGTTTTGCAATCTGACTAGGGTGTGAATTAGGATCTCTGTAATACACAGCTTGCACCTATGCTCACTACCTATTTCTTATTTTTAATACACAAAAAGGATAGGCTATTTGTTTCTGATTTAGCAGGCTAGTTATATGATTTTCAAACATGTGTTGACATCAGTTACTCATAGCAGTTGTGTCTGTACTGTTTAAAATAAATTCACCATCACTCCTAAGAGAAGGTGCAAAATCATCCTTTTATTTATTTATTTATTTAGAGAGATTAGAAGATTAAGGATAGGAAACGCCTAAACTTCCTCCAGGGTTTTACCATTAAGTGTGAATGATGCTGGCATCTCCCAGGTAAGACATAGGTGTAAGAATGGATATTTTATTCTCCTTAACAAAACATTATCCAGTCATATGAGCTATTGCTTTAGAATGTTGGAATAATGTAGTAGCCATGTAGCCTGCCCTCATTTCGTATTTCCTAAACTATAAAATTTGAGGTCTTTAAATACAAATCAAGATTGTGCCCCTCAGAGTGAATTACCCAAAAGAGGCAATTAAGTACTTATCTATCTGAAAGTTGGTTTTGCTTGTTTGTTTTTCCTGGGAAAACTGCTGGTTTTGAGCCACTTCCTTTGGAACACAGACTTCCTAGCAGCTCTTTCAAAGACAAATCAAGAAGTCCATAGCTTAATCATTCAGCCTTCCATCATCCTTACTGCTTCACCAATTTGGTAAGCAGGCATAGAATCAAAGCATTAAGTGGAAAAGTCCACCACAGCTGTGCTGTGTCTACCACTTGCATTTAGATATTTATAAAAGCATGCTTTTAATTCCCTGTTTACCATATCTCATAATTTACCACCTTCACTAAAACAAGAAGATAAATACTTTCTGTAAAAAAGCTTTGCATAAACACTTTACTAAAGCACCTGTCTTTGTTGGAAGGGACTTCTGAGACAGGCAGGCTACAGCTGGAGCAGCAACGTTTCCAGAAGACCTTAAGACAGATGATCTCAAATGGATAGCGGGGAAAATAATCCAGCATTCTGTATTGTATCCATGCCCTCCTGCAGCAGTAACTTGTTCATAAATCTGAAAAAGAAGGCTACTGTCTTCCATATGGGGGAAGTGCAAGAAAACTGCTCTTGATAGTTCTGAATTCCCTTTTAGGACAAGGATTCTTGTGGGTGCAGGGTGGGCTAGCCTGCTCTAATAAATCTGATTGCAGAGATTCAAACATGGAAGAATTTTTGTATCTGTGACCTCCATATAACTTCAGAAGTGAACCTTTTATTGCTTTTGTTTGAAGACAGGGTCCTAGTCAAAGTGTTGCTTTGATGTTTTTACAAATAACATATGAGAGCAGGGGCCATGACAGCTTCAAATCATGTGATTTGCTTTGCAAGCAGCAAACAAAAAGGATCGTTTGTAGTAAAGTATACAGTACTGTTTACAGAAATGAAATGAGACTTGAAATTAGAATTGAAATAGATGAAATCCAAGCAGATTTCAGTGACTTCTTGAGAAAAAGTTCTGTTACTTGTTTAGAGGGGCAATGTAATTTCCCAAATAAATTTGCTTATTAATATTTCAAACTATTAATTTGCTCTGACAAATAGGGAGGTATCTCAAATCATGTTTTCAGAAACCAGTAGTTTTCTTTGATAGAATATTTTCAATGACCTTAATGTCATAACATACTGCTACAGATAGAACATGTATGCATAACTCATAATTAGTAATGCAAGCACCACACTTCCAAGAGTGTTGCTCACATAGAAAGCTGCTTTATATTTTCTTCCCTGACTAGTGTATTTATTTTTTAAGCAATGAACAGGATGCAAAGTGTTACACTTCTACCCATTTTCAAAAAAAAAAAAGAAAAATTTAGAACAGCGTAGAAGATGATAAAACAAATTCTAAATATAATCAATGTCATATGTTTTTTTGTATGTGTTCAAGTATGTGTTGTGTTGTTGTTGTTTTTTAATATTTTTTACTCTGGAGGTGGTTTACAAAGTGCTGAGATTCTTGAGGGGTTTTGCACAAACTTCAGAGAGGATGAAGCCTTTTGGATGTGCTTTCAATATCCAAGAAAATTGAGATACCACAAATTCAAATTTTTATGTTTTAAACAATACTGGAGAAGAACTCAGGCTTTGAACAACTTGCACAGAAGATCAAAGGAGTGGTGTGTGCAACTACAAATAAACTGTTAGAAAGTGTGTTTGAGTTAAGATAGAAATGAAATGCTTTTGGCCATGGAAAAGGACCAGAAGATCCCATAGCATGATGAGATCAACATCAACTCTGGTATGGCCATTGGAAGGATTTTCTATCTGGCCATTTTTTATGAGCTTCTGTTTGTCTGTCCAATCTCTGGACCTGCTTTTTTCAGTATACTTTCATGACCTGTCATATTTAGTATCTGAGATAAAATGGTGTTAACTTGTTGTTGGTTTTTGTTTGTTTGTTTTTAATAGAAAAGACACTAATGCATCTGTGAGTATTCAATGGTGTTAAAAAATGGTTTTACTTTGTTTTTGTGCCTAAGTATATAAAAAGCTCTATAAGCAACTTAAGAATAAAATTAAATGAATTACCTAAAATGACCATTTCTGTCAAGAGAAATGAAGAGAAAAGAACACAGCAACTAGAATATGAGAAATATCTCAGCCTTCTAGCATAGATTATGATCGAAACCAATGAAAGAGTCTTAGAATAGCCTAGACCACAGTCTAGGGTCACTATATTCATTTAGAGATGTAGTAGTGAAGCTTGAGACACATCCCCGAGTGATTCAAAGTGGGTTGAGGCTTCAGGCTCACCAGCTGGAGTTATTCCACTTTGTGTAAGTAAATAATCATGGAATTCATGTTGGTTGTCCTCTCCCTGTCTCAGATACAGTGCTTTTGTCAAGTCTTCTGACTCTCAGAATGTAACCAACTCTTTCAGCAAAGAAGTAGAGCAGTGGAATGTCAGATCTGCCAGTAAAAGAATGAAAACCAAGTCGTCAACCATGTGTTCCCTGAGAGAATGTCAGAGCTCACTGAGCTGTCTGTTATCAGGGTTTAGATTTCTTTTTTCTCTTCCATTTCTTCCCTCTTTTTCTGGGAGAAAGAAGCTAGCAAACTTTGCAGATCCTGGCTTTCATGCTGATATGGAATGAAAATTTGAAGAAAAGTTTATAGACCTGTGTCAGACAGGAAAATAATTTACTGTCTCATCTACATTTTTAAAGTTAGATAAGAATACATCAGAGATATTTAATGTTTAGACAACTTTATTTATTTTGGTTCCATATATCTTTGTAGGTAACTGTTTAGCAGGCATTAGCTGCATTGTATGTTCCTGAATTTCCTTCCATGTCAATCAGTGTGGCAGAAAATTAAGGTAACTGAGGCTTTATGAAGATCATGTCTGGTATTTTTCTAACAGAAACAAATTAAAAGCAAATCCAATTAAAACAAAGCCATTAGTCTGAAAATGCAGAGTGATTTTTATACTTAAATCCTTGCTTGAATTATGAATCTTATATATCCATCATGTTCTTCTGCTTTCTCATTTTAATTGTACCTTTTCCTTGCCTTATGAACTTTTTCTTTTTCCTTAATAGCTCAGGATATTTTTTTCTCTTTTCCTCAACAGTCCAGGTTGATTCTCTGGTGGGCAAGTAACTAAAAATAAAATTCTTGGCCAGCAGCCATTTTACTGTTTTTCATTCATTTCAGGATGGCACCAATTTTTGAAACAAGAAGACAACAGCTAAATATATTCCAAGACAAAGTAATCAATCATGATAGTCTGCTAATTCTTGGAGATACCATAAAGGTACCAAACTATGAGAATTCATTCTTGAAGATGACAGGAAGAAATAAGCATAGACAGTAGAATCCTGTAGGGAGGAATGATGAGGAGACCTGCTGTATGCACCCTTCTGCTAGATGTTATACATCTGTGTTTCTGTATTAAACTTTATTCAGCTAAGTTGCATGGCAAGGAGTTTCTGTTGATGAAGCTGATGATGAATGCATTAACTCCTGCAATACAGCACTGTTAGTGGTTTGACCAAATATCATCATGTAGTCATTTAACATCAAGATGTTATAGTTTTTCTGTTTTCGTAGGTGATTATCCAATAAATATCTCACAGGATACTGTACAAAAAGTTTTTCTAAAAAGGATCAAGTAGTGTGTAGAAAAAGCATGAAGATTTTAGATGTCTTATCCTCATGGTCTTTATACTTGTACTGATAGTGTGGATTGCACCTTGACCCTGGCAACCCATACAATCAGTACAGATGGGGGATGTAAGGATTGAGCACAGCCTTGCCTGCAAGACTTGAGGATGCAGGCAGATAGGAAGGTGGTCATGGGC